TTTCGAGCTCATTTAAAAAAAGAGATTTTTTAATATTCAATATTTCTCTAAAGCAATAGGATTTTTAATAATTCATTCTCCAAAAAATCAATTTTAATTAAAAAAAAAAAATCTCCCAAACAATGTTTTTTATGTTTCAATACTCTTTAGTACTATTGATCCACATTCCTATGACGACGTGTACATGATTTTATCTTCGTGTGCACACGATACTATCTATGTATCTAAGTTCTCGACATAGCATGCACACAATGCTATTATGCAATGTTGCTTTCATGTGCCTACTCCCTTGCCATGATGTACATATAATGCTGCCTTCGTGTACATGTGTCTTTGCTGTGGCATGCGTACAATGCTTCCTTCGTGTACACAAGGTGTTATCTTCCCATGACATGACATGTCTAAATGATTATAAACACCTCATAAATGAAGAAGAAATACATAAACTTGTGTTTGCACGTGTGATACAAGAGGTTGTTGTAGTCATTTTATATGTAATTTTATTATTTGAAAATTGAGATATATACACCTCTTTTGTAACGTTAATGTGGAACTTGTTTTTTAATCTATGCCTAGGCCTATTTTGGTATTGCTATGATTTTAAAAAAAAATCAGTTGTAGGTGTACTGAAGAAATAATCAACTATGAGAAGAATTGGATAATTATTTGATAAAGTTTTGTTTAGAGATGGCAATTTTCCCCACCCCGTCCCGTCCCCGCGGGGACCCGCCCCGAATGGGTTGGCGTGGCGTGGCGGGGCGGGGCACCTGCCCCTTGAAGAATTAAAAAAAAAAATTGTTTTGGACATTTTTTTTGTTTCAAGTGCTTGCTTTGAATATTGATATAGTTAGAGCCTGTTTGGTAGGAATTTTTGGGGGAAGAATTGATTTTGAATAGTGATATGATGGGAAATGTGTGGTTGAAAAAGAAGAAAAAAGTATTGATGTGATGGAAAATATTATTTCATTGAAGAATGTGTGGTTGAAAATGAGTAGAAGAATGAGAATGAAAAAAATAATGTGGCCCAAACAGGGGTTTAGAGTGGCTTGTCGATATATAGGTTGGTAAAGTAATTCACAATAACATCAT